TTTCACGTCATTAGATTGTAATCATTTCTTGTGGCTTTTAAAGTGTTTGTTACGTTAAAGATCAATTTTAAACAGATTTGCCACTTTTAAAATTTTGTCCACCTTGTAATTTTTTTCTCGACCAATCAGGGGCTTCAATTTCAATCAGAGTTTTGATCCAAATATGCCATATATAAGCATTTTTGGCGGAGGTGAATTTTTCTCCCAGAGTGTAACTCATAGAAGCAATGTAATAGTAACAGCGATAGCGATAATGGCAACAACAGAAACATAGACGAATCAAAAAAAAATACACAACACAAGTAAGTTAAATGTGATTAAATATAACTATTTATTTTTTCCGTAATTTTTTTTTCATATACGATAATGGGCAAATTTACTACGAAAATATGGTTTTAAAAACAAACTGAAACTTGACGGAAGAATTTATATAAAACATTACAAAATAGATGTGAGAAAAATCTTGGCCAAACGGAGACCCGTAACATGAAAAAAAAAATACTATAAAGAAAGGGAAAAAAAATAAAGATATAAGACTGGGTTAAACTATGAAGGACGCATAGGGGGCAAAAAAGATACGAGCAACTCAAAGGGAGCAAGAAAGAACAAACTAAAAATGAAGATAAAAACGGAAAAGCTATTGCCAATCACGTACAAATTGCAGTGGAGGTAGGAAAAATGCAGAAAATAATTAAAACAGCCGAGATAATATATGAAGGCAAGATTAGGTGAATTTCATAATCTAGGCAAAATACGGAAAATCGTCGACGAACCAATAATAAACTTAACAGCGATATTAAAGAGGGAAGAAAGTTGTAATGACCATGTCAGACACAAAGAATTGACTCTTGTTGATGACAGAGAAAAACGTCCATACAGAAAAATATAGGGAAAATCAGATGTATCAAAAACATAGAACACAAAGAGAATCTGAAGAAATGAAGTAAGATATAAAAAAAAACAAAGAGATGCGATCAAAAAACAAAGCAATGCACTATGGCAAATCAGAATATATCAAAAGAGAAAAATAGTTCCAACATCTGCTACAAAAGAGAATACTAGAATTAGATACTTATATAAAAACTTCACAAATGACCAGAATATCAAAATAGGGGAAACGAGAAGAAATTTAGAAGATGATTATATCCCTTCCTAAAAAGAAATCATCAGGACACGCGGAATTAGATACTAAACTAAACCCTACAATAGGTACTAAAAAAGCGGTACACAGACGGTTTGCCAAGTTGATGGCAAAGATATTTAATGGAATGATCGAAGAAAGACTCTATGAAAGCATGAAAAAGCATAAAAAAAAGGGAAAGGACCACGAAGCCTGCAAATAGAAGGTCAATAAGTCTACTGCATTCGCGGGAAAAATACCGAACTAATGACAGAAAAAATTTAGTTAGTAGAAGGAAAGAACGTAATACTAGAAAGTTATTATGAATTGCAACCTTTTTACGAATCGAGGAAAAAGACACACCGAGGTGGTTGCAACAGATGATGGTATCCATCTTACGAGATAAAAGTTTTTAAGGCAGGATTAAGTAGAGTTATGCACCAAAAGCAATCATCACTATCCCCTGTCTTATACCACATGATGTTTCTTGCGATTCTCTAAAATAGTAGGAGCAACGATATGCAGAAAATACCGTGGTACTTCTTAAAAAAACATGTTATGGAACAAGATATAGAAAATAAACACACTAAAAAACGAAGTAGCAAGATTAGTAGAAATCTAACCTCAAAATGTATCGACGTATTATTAATTTAAGAGACCTATTGAAATAGGAGACTTCCAGGAAAGGTCTTCTCAACGGGTGAAGCTATAGGAGTAGCACATTTTCACATTTTTGGGTGAGTAGCGGCTTAAAAGGAGTTCCTTAAGCAGATTAAAAATATGCGAGAGTTTGGGCATGCACACAATGCGAAGATATAGATAAAAAAGATTAGGAATAAATTACCTTTATAGAAATTTGAAAATATGTCATCAATGTATTTACTACAGTATTAACAGTAAATGATAGTTCGACAATATTATAGTCTTGTAATATATTATAATATTTCAGAAGCATTACATTCATCCTTCAGCAAAAGATTAATGCCTCTGCCAACACACAACGGCAGTGGTCAGAAGAGTATGTTGGATGTGAACATGATTACTTCTTCTTTCTCTTACTCTCTTATTTTCTTCTATTACTTCTTCACACTGGATGCATTGATTGAATGGAGAATTCCATCTTCTTCTTTCTTCTGCTTTTGTACTAAACTTCTTTTTTGGTACTCCTTCCTCATCCATTCGAACCTGGTGGCTATATCATTTCCTGCTTCTCATCTACTTATATTCTATACCAGAATCCTCAAGCTGTTAGCCTCTTTTGACTTTTCCTACTATTGTTCGCAAACACTTTATCCTTGCTGCAGCTGTTTTTGATTTGTAACTGTCTAATATTGTCCAAGTTTACGACTCATAGTTGAGTATGGCTGTATATATGAGAATGGTTTTGTATAGATGTAATTTTGCTTAGTCCTTTCTTATCTACCAGGAAATTATTTATCTGGTAATATAATCCACTTGTTATTATATTCTGTTACGTATCCCTTGGACAATCTTGTTATTTTATTAATCATGAGTATCAGATATTTGTATTTTCCTACCAGCTCTAATGGTTGTTCATCTATTCTTAGTTTTTCTTCCTTCTTACTTTGTGGTGTGTAGGATTTTATTTTTGTTCCTGTTTATTATCATTCCCTTCTCTTGTAGACAGCTTTTACACATCATATTAGCGGGGTTAGACTATCGTCCTGTATAACTCCTTTATCCATTTTAAACTCAAAACTCTAACTGTTTCTCTTAGTATCGTGGGGTTACTTTTAATCGCTCTTTGTAATTTTAAACTTATTCCCTCTTTTCTTAATGCAACCCAAATACGTTGTCTCGGTACTTAGTGGAAAGCTACATTTAGGTTCCTATATTTGTCTACTGTTTTCTCTAATATAGCTCTAAATATATGTGATCCTGTGTTTGTCGGTTAAACCGGAAAGCCGTTTGCCCTTCTTTCAGTCTGCCCTATATCTGCGTTTTCAACCGCTTTTCTTAGATTTTCGAGTAAAGTTTAAGCTGTGTATTGCGTAGCTCTTTTTTTGTGTATTGGCACGAGCCTACTGGCCACAATTTTTACAGCCACCGTTCTACTGCCTTCCTCATTTTCTTATTCTGTTTAGTGATATGTTATCTGCACCTGCACCGTTTTCAACATATTCTTCTTTCTTCTCTAAATCTTGCTGCGCAGTAGTCCTGCCATGTTTTCAATATCTTTTCATTAGTCATTTGTAAGTTTGGCTTTTGGTTTCTTTTATTTCCTATTTGTTTTGCATTAAACCTTTTCAGCTTTATGACTACGTTCCAGAACTGTTTCTGGAAAGGTTCCAGTTTTGCTCTTTTCACAGCTCCCTTCCTTCCTGCCTCTTTCTTTGGTATATTTCCTGATCAGCGGCAGTCCTTGTTCTCCTGAATCTATTTTAAGCTTCTTTTTCTGGTGTATCCTGTATTCCATCCCACCATTTGGTTCTTCATTGATTTGGTCCGTCTTATTTTTGCAACATATACATTGGTTCTTGCTTATATTATCGTTTCCTTGAATATTCCATCTATCATTGAGCTTCTTGCTCTTCTAGGCTACTTAATCTTTTACTGAGTTCTCCTTCATACTTCTCTCTTTGCACTTAATTTACGTACTTCTATTTTTAGTGTTTTATAGATTTTTCTTTTATTCCAAGTTGGTGTCAGTTATCAATAATCGGTGGTCTGTTCCGAGTTCTGCCCCTCTTAGTATTTGATTATTGATGCAGAAATTTATCATTTGTTGTTCAGTGTCTCTTCTTCTCCGTCTTTTTCCATTCATCGATTATCATAACATAGTTGCACTTGTTTTGTGTTTTTCCTAGAGTTATTTGTAAATAATCGCTGAAATTGTTTCTAACATCGACTTTTTTATTGGTGCATATATACGTACCATAGTAATTTTTTCTTCTAATTCGAGGAAGACTGTTATATACTGTTATATCTCATATTCTAGAGTTTATGTTCTCTCAGGTGGTTAGCTTGGCTTCCACAGCCTCGCTTGTTATGCGTTGTTTATGTTGTTTCCTGTTTTGCTCTCTCATCGAGTATCCTACATATGTATCTGAAATGGTATCTCTTATCAAAAGCCATTACTTTCTTTTCAGATTTGTGATACCCACAATCTGTATCTTGGATATATTCTTTCCTTAATTAGTGCAATATCAAAATGAAAGAAACTTAACTTAAACTTTGGATAGACGTTTTGCAAATGTTGTAAATTCATCAGTCCCAAAAAAATCGTGAAAATTAAATGCAAGTCTGATTATAATATCTACTTCGATTGACTGTAATAAGTTTTATTCAAATTCTGATTGGTTGAAATAAAATTCTATAAATAAATTTCTATCAGTCGCACTTTTTAAACATTTTTTCAATACATTCTTTATTATTCATAGTGACTGTCTAAAATGCATTATAAATTCAACAAATCATGAAACACAATGTAGATGATGTAGATATAGTAATAATAAAAAGGTAAGCAAGGGTCAAGTTCAAGTAATTTTTAAATGCTTATTATTGAGTAATCAGATAATATACTAAATAGGGCGTTTTCTTATCACAAATATTTGTGTTGCTATTGGTAGGGGATCGTTTTTAGGTCCCACCTCTGGAGGCCCTTTATCGGAACAATAAGATCCGCGAAGATAGGCAAAACGAGATTGTATTATTTTATATTATTTTTTTTTTACAAGTACCGTTGATAATAGCTGTCAACTCTCCGATCAATTTAAATCTGAACGGTGTTGGTGAAACGATTAGATCGGTGTATACAACTTGGTTGATAAGTGCGTTGGCCGTGAGAAACCTTATAATACAATTTTTGTTAACAAGGTTTTTAAAATTTATTAAAGTTTCTTAGAAAAGTCAAAGTTTTTGTTTAGAATTTTATAAAACAGAACAGTTTTATTTTCTTTGGGATTTAAAAACATTAGAAAACGAAAGAATCTGGATTCATTTTACGGTGAGTATTTATTTTTTTTATGCGCGGAAATCCCTGATAAACATCTATAGCAATTTGGTAGTTTTTTAGGGTTTTATGATCATTTCTAATCAAAGTATTAGATTTACGACGAATTACTGTAATTCATAAAATACCTAATTAAATTTAATTATCAAAAATTTTGAAATTGTTGAAAAAAAAAGTGTATTGACAAATTTAAGTATTTTTAAACAATATATTGTATAGTTTCACCATAAACTTGATTTCCATTATCATTTTCGACAGATATTCAAGAGTTTTATTATCTTTTATAAACAATATTATTTTTTATGTATTGGTTCAATTTAATGTCACAATTAATTTTTGAAAAGTAGTATTTTTTACTTCTGTAATCAATTGCAGCAATAGTTGAAAAACTTTGGATTGTATTAGAGCTACAATAATGTAATTAATTTGACACCATTTATAGTTAAGGATGTTTTTATCTGACGTATTTATTTTATAATATTATATTACATGGCTATGTGTCTTGCATAAGTTTTTAGATAATATTTCAAAACGGTTTCGAGTATTAAGGACGAAAATAAGCAGTTTCTTATTTGTGTTCACGATTTAGATCCAATTTGGAAGTAAGTTGTGAGACATTATAGAGAAAACCAGAAACAGTTCTAGAACATAGTCAAGAAGCTGAAGGAGACGAATTCAAAGAAATATTAATATAATTATTAATACTAATGGTGGAACGGACATATAAAATTTCTTGTTGTTTCCTTCTCTTCGCTTGTAATTCATCATCATTGATTACTAACAAAACTGTTGCTGTTATCACTTTCGATTATTAATTAAAGTATCCTTTTCTTAATGCAAAAAGCCGTTTTGAAAAATCACTTGCAGTTCTTGAGAAATACATTTTTAAATTTTCGCCGATTAAGCTTTAAAAATTCGTATAAAATCCACTTCTTGGAATATGAGTATGAAAATTTCCCAAAGTGTTAATAAGAGTGCCCTCTTTCCAATGAACCAACATGTTTTGAAAAATAACTTTTAGTTTCTGAGAAAACAATATTTGAAGTTTTGATAAAATTTTCGATGTTGAAGTTTTCATCGATAATTTTCAAAATTCGCTATAAAATTAATTTCTTGAAGGATCCTTGTGAAAATATCACCAATTATTAATTAAAGTACCCTCTTTTTAATGCAACAAGCCGTTTTGAAAAATCGCTTTTAGTTTTTGAGAAATGATCGACAATTTTTTCGAATTTTACAATTTTCACCGATTAAGTTTTAAAAATTCGTATAAAATGCACTTCTTGGAATATGAGTATGAAAATTTCCCAAAGTGTTAATAAGAGTGTCGTCTTTCCAATGAACCAACCCGTTTTGAAAACTAACCTTTAGTTTTTGAGAAAACTATGTTTGAAGTTTTGATAAAATTTCCGATGTTGCAATTTTCATCGATAATTTTCAAAATTCGCTATAAAATTCATTTGTTGAAAGATCCTTGTGGAAATATCACCAATTATTAATTAAAGTATCCTGTTTTTAACGCAACAAGCCGTTTTGAAAAATCGCTTTTAGTTTTTGAGAAATGAATTTTTGAAGTGATGGACAATTTTTTCGAATATTGCAATTTTCGCCGATTAAGTTTTAAAAATTCGTATAAAATCCACTTCTTGGAATATGAGTATGAAAATTTCCCAAAGTGTTAATAAGAGTGTCCTCTTTCCAATGAACCAACATGTTTTGAGAAATAACTTTTAATTTCTGAGAAAACAATATTTAAAGTTTTGATAGAATTTTCGATGTTGCAATTTTCCACGATAACTTTCAAAATTCTCTATAAAATTGATTTCTTGAAGTATCCTTGTGGAAATATCGTCAATCATTAAATAAAGTATCTTCTCTTTAGAGTTGCTTCGTTAGTTAAATCAGTATCAAAAAAGTTAATTTTGTATCTTGGATCCATATAAGTTGACATATCTTGTCAGCTTTCTTATTAATTTCATTTTTATTCAAATATCGCATTTATGTAGCAATGTAGGGTATCACTTCAGAAATGTACCAAAAATTATAACCATAATGGCCGAATAGAAATGCCGGTTAACCGGATATCAGGCCGAATATCCGGTATCCGGCTTTTCGCAAAATCACTATCCGTTCCATCACTAATTAATACACAATATTGTGAACGAAAATGAAAAGCTACAAACGACCAGCAAAAACATATTGAAAATATATAAGGACTACTATGCAGTAAGATTTAGAGGAGGAGAGATGGAAAAAGAGGATACTGTAGAACGAGTAGATACTAGAGAGGAACTACTAAAGAAAGGAACCGGCAGTAGATCTATGGCTAAAAATAATAATCCGACAGGCTTAGATTACTGCAACAATACCTCAAGATTGAGAGAAGAACATAATCGTGTCAATACACAAAAAAGGTAGAACAACTAGCTGTGAACATTATGGGGAATATCTGGGAATCATGTTTAGTAAAGGTGGCAAAATTGATCTTGATCAAGATCAAGACCAGATAAACAATACCGCTGATGAAAAAATCGTTGATGTAAATATTTGCACCCAAATTAATTTTACTCTTAAGGATCTTTATTATCCATATTTAGAAGATTCTGATAATTAGCAATCCGATGGGATTCTAAAGCTTTAGTAATGGTATGAGTCAGTTTATTTGATCAAGTTTGAGTAGAAATGCTAATTTGGAAATAGATGTATGCTACAAAATGCTAAAAGCATAGGATTCATTTTAACCGTGTATTGATTCAAAAGCGTCATTGATGCGTCATGAATGCAAAAATGAGAGAGAGATGACATAGTGGAGAACAATTTAAGAACAAGCCAACAAAATGTTAATTCTACAAGTGAGAAGTATAGCGAAGACCGTGGCCGATCGAGAGATTTCTATAATAGCCTATGATTCACCAGGATCGCCATCATACCATTGATGACAAGACAGTAGTAATAGTAGCATGTGTATAACGTTGGCTGTATATTCAGTTTTCTCCGTTTTTAAGATATATTTATTATTTATCTTCTGATATTTAAACCTTTCCTAGTACCTTATCATCGTTTAATCATTATTAAATCATGGAAGATAATAAAAAATGCATGGATTCTGAAGAAGCTGAATGTTAATGGTCACCAAAAACGAAACAATTTTTATGTTTGGATAATATTTTCTTGTGATTAATGATTTCTCTGAATAAGAATTATGCCACAGTTTCTTCAGCTTTATGGAACCATGAGAAGCTACAAAGTATTCACAGAAAATCCATGAACTTTTGCAAATAGCAGAACTTGTAGGGTTAAATTTTAGAATTCGCTGATAAAAATTGTAATGTTTTCAAATGGAATATACAAATAGATTTTATAGTACATATTTGTGGGTTTGTAGGGGAAATAAAAGACAATCTGAAGATAATGAACTACTAACTATTAGGCAGAATTTAAGAACAACATTACAAAAAATTAAATGCAACAATTAGTGATATCAAAGAATTTACAAACATTTGGAAGAAATAAAACCAAAATTAAACCAGTGGTAAATGAGGGAAAGTGATCAGAAGATGAAGTATAGGATCAACAAGAACATGAACTAATTGAACCTTCTACAGTAGATGAAACTCAAAATGCAAAAGGTTAAAGGATAACATCCTTCAGAACTGTTTAGAATGGGAAACAAGCTATACAAGAACTGCCTTTATTTAACTCACCAAGTGAATATCGTTGGTACATATTGTGTATCTTGTATGAATCTCAAATAGTTATACTTATCTTAAAGAGAATGACACAAGCAAGATACAAAAACTATTTGTTAATATATAATTTGTATTTTCTATTTTGTAATTTATTTAAAGTTATTAGCAAACTTTAACTATCAATACTTGCTACAAAAATCAAAACAATAAAATCACATCGACAAAACTCAAGATAAGATAAAGTACGATGATGGCTCACTTTCTATTTAGATTTATTCGCCGCGTACTCAAAATCTAAGAGGTTTTTTACTATTTTTTGATGCTATTAGACAGAGTATCTATTCTAATTTTTTTTTAATTTCCCATTACTTTTTATCTCATATTAATAACATCAAAATGCGTTTAAATTTTAATTTTTTGATAACTGATTAGATTCGTTTTAACTATTTTAACATATCATTTCTAATGTTCTAGATATAATGGCAGAGCTTCCTTCGAGTCGTAGATGACAAAAAGTTTAGAACCTAACTTGTTATAAATTGAGAAATTGTGAAATAAGTAAAATGGGTCTTTTTAAATTATTTTTAGTAATCTCATTCGTCGTGGTTAATACAAATCAAAAAGGTATATATTTGTATTTTTTAATTAATTTTATTGATTGTATTGAATTAATTAATTTGTAGAAATCTCTTCTTCAATTCCAAATTTATTAACTTACGATGTTATTTGCGAAAACTGCGCTTTATTAAATGATTCATCGCCGAGTATTGTTCCGTTAAAAGTAGACGAAAGAAAACATCCTGGGATTCGTATTGTTAAATCAACCGAAGACAATGAAACATGTGGATCGTCCGCGGATGATTTTCCAAATTTTTTTACACCGGAGCAACGAAAAAGTGGGGCTATTATTATTCATTTTGTTGCTGCGTTGTATTGTTTTTTCTTAGTCGCTATTATCTGCGACAATTACTTTATCCCTTGCGTCGAACAAATTGCCATCGTGTTGAATTTATCCGAAGTAAGTAAACAAATTGAAAAATTTTATCAAACATAAAGTAAATATTTACTTTTAGGACGTCGCTGCTGCCACTTTCATGTCCGTTGCAACTTCCGCTCCTGAATTATTCGTCAATATCATTGGAACTTTTATTACAAAGTCTGATATGGGTATTGGAGCTATTGTGGGATCTTCGCTGTTTAACACTCTTGGAGTTGTTTCTATCGGTGGATTAGCGGCAAGTGCTGTAAGTTAATCTTAATTTTTTCTCTTAATACTTTTTAATGATAAATAATCAAAATATTATAGCCTATCCAATTGGCGTGGTTTCCACTTATGCGAGATACCATCCTTTACATTTGCGCAATATCAGGTTTAGTGGTAATAACGTGGGATGGTTTGATTTTTTGGTACGAAGCTTTATGTCTATTCACTGGTTATTTCGTTTATTTCGTGGTGATGTTCCAAAATCAACGTATTTCGAGATTTGTTCATAAAATGGTAGGGAAGTTTATGAAAGGAGAACCGGAACCGGATCCAAAAAAATTTCCGGATAAAGAGTATAAACCGTCAATTGATATTCTCCGTCAACCCAGACCGAAATATAGAGATCCTCCAGCTCCATCGATAAGCGAAGATGATGTTATTTTAACAATTAGTGAAGAACCTAATTTGTATAAATTACCTAAAGGAAATATTTATACGAAAATTTATTTTTTGTACACATGGCCATTAAGATTTGCTTTGTATTGGACAGTTCCGGATTCAAGAAAATTTCCAAAACTATTTCCGGTTACTTTCGTTATGTGTATGGTTTGGATTGGTTGTAATTCCTATATTGTTTCTTGGTTGATCTCAATTATTGGTAAAAAAGAATTTAATTTTAAGCAAATTTAGAAATAATTAAGTCATATTTTTAGGTGTAACTTTTGGAATACCTGATGCAGTTTTAGGATTAACATTTTTGGGAATGGTGGGTTGTCTTGGGGAAACATTTTCAATTGCAATCATGTCAAGAAAAGGTAAAAATAATCCACATTACTCTAAAAACACATTCTTATTTTCTTTTTAATAAACAGGCGAAGGTAAAATGGGAGTTTCAAATGCTTTAGGAGCCAACACCATGAATATTTTATTATCACTTGGACTCCCGTGGTTCATTCAAACTTTAGTGTTGGGTGCTGATAGCGACGCTTATATTTATATAGAATCCGGTGCGATGGAATATGTAATTATGGGACTTATAGTGGCCGCGATAACGCTTGTAGTAACTTTAGCTTTTAATCGATTTAAAATGTCACGACTTACCGGCTCAATTACAATATTTTGCTACTTGTGCTTTCTAACTTTGGCGGTTGTAAGTGATTTGGTTCTTTTCCCAACGGAATGTCAATGAATCTAAATCGATTTAAGATACAATTTTCAAGTGATTTTATTGTTTTTAATTTTTAATAACTGGCTGTGATTTCGTTATAATTTATCAATTCTAATCTTGATCGATTCTTATTGTTTTATTTATCATCATAACATCGTTACTTAAAGTCGTGATTAATTACTAATTGAATTTTTTAGAAAAAAAAATGTGAGATGTTTGAGATTTTTTTTTAGATTTGTTAATAATGGAAATGTTTTATATTTCTTAAAGTGTATTATATTTATGAATATTAATTTCTCATAAAAACTCTGTCGTATTTTTTTATATCATTACCCAACCTATAATCCAATTTTAATTTACTCATTAACATAAAAATTACATAAACTATTTGTCATGGATCTATAAATCAATGTCGAACATAATAAGATAAATTATGTACATCAGAACTAATTTAATCCTTAAGAAAATATTCCATTAGAAAAATTCTGCGATTGATAAAGACTAACAATAAATGTACACTAAAGATAATCCCTCCAGTCGCCGAAAATGTGTAGATCACAATAGATAATATCTATCGATTTAAACTACTCAATATAATTTTTAAAAAATGCGATTTAATTACGAAAATGACAGAAATTGTCGAATGATATTTTCAAAATAGTAATAAATGTAATAATATTTTAAACAATAAGTATGCGGATTTTTACAAAAATGTGCGATA